TCTCTGGTTTAAGTGAGCAAGGTCATTACAATACTCTTTTGTAGAACAATGCAAATAACAGTGTATATACACCTTAAATTTGGTAGGTAACAAAAGTTAGAATGCAATCATCTTTTGATGCAACAAGAAAATAAATAAAGTAAAAATTAAACACTTTTACCCCAACCGTTGGTATTGACAGATCAGTAGTGTCAACTTCACATTTGAAGGACAACAGCATCTATGATGAAAAATGCTCACTGTATCATGGTATTTGGGCTAGTGATATTTAGAATATTAAGTGTTTCCTTTTTGCGTAAAGGAATAAAATGCAATCGCTATCAACTATTGCTATTGTAACTCTTTTTTTTTTTTTAAATTCAGATCCTTTATTTTTATTTTTTGGCGGAACCAGGGATTGAATTTAGGACCCCGGACTTGCCAGGCAAGTGCTTATTCTACTGAGCTGTCTCCCTGACCTGTAACTCTTTTTAAGCTGGAGTGAAGTGATCTTTTGTTCCGTGGCATAAGCGACATATATCACATTTCTGTCATATGGAAACCTTGTAAGATTTTATTGTTATAAACTATAATACACACTGACCACACTGTTAGTCCCTTACAGTTTTTAAAATTTTATTTATTTTTTCTCTTATAGATTTTAAAGAAAAATATCTAATTTGTCTTTATGGGTGTCAACACATTATTCCATCATTTGTTTATTTATTTATTTATTTTGGCGGAACCAGGGATTGAACTCAGACCTTTGGGCTTGCCAGGGAAGCGCTTATTCTACTGAACCATCTCCCCAGCCCCCTCTGTCATTTGTTTAAAAATGCACATTTGTCCTGTGAAAGTATTGGGGTTTTTTTGTTTTGTTTTTTGTTTTTGGCAGAATCAGGGATTGAACTCACTGTGAAAGTATTAGGAAAATACTCTTGCAAATAAACTATATGTAGATAAAATACATTTCAAAAATATGTGGGGTTTTTTTGGTCTGTTTTACAATATTCTATAAAGTGTAAGAAATCCTAAGTAAAGGAAAGTTTTTTTTTTTTTTTTTTTTTTTGCAGAACCAGGGATTGAACTCAGGCCCTTGCACTTGCCAGGGAAGCATGTATTCCACTGAGCCTCTACCTGGCCCCTGTAAAGGA